AGAGAGAGAGAGAGAGAGAGAGAGACTTTCAAAAGAAAAATTTGATTGAGAGAGAGAGAGAGTTGAGAGAAAGAGAGACTCAGATTGAATTATTGGAAATGTTTTAGAGAAAATCCATTGATAACAGTGTGTCATTCCATGCTTTGACCCATTTAGACTGCATATGAAAATAACATTATCATCTATGACTGCATATCCTTGTATATATCTTATTAGAGGCTTTACTGGATGGGAAACCACCGTGATCAGTTTTTGTACAGGTTTATTGCAAAAACGTATATTATGCTGCGTGGCTGGTCCATGCAGAATATAAACACATACTACAGTTTATAAAAGATGAGAGAGAAACACAAAAAATAAGAAAAAAGTAAGGAAAATTAGCACAGCATATATATTAGCACTAATAAAGTTTTATAGCACAGAGTGAAAATATATATATATTTATGCTCTAGTTACAATACAGCTTTTTACAACACATTCATTCCTAAAATAGTAATAATAATAATAATGATAATAACTACAATAATGATAGCAATAATCATGATGATGTCATAACAATAATAATGATAATAGTAATAAGTAATAATAAATAATAACTATAAAATAATAATAATAATAAAATAATAATATAATTAATAATATTAATAAAATAATAATAGAAACATAATGATAATATAATAATATAATAACAGTATTAAAATAATAAATTTAAAAATATAATATAATAATAATAATAATAATAATAATAATAATATAAAAGCAAAAATAAATATTTTTTTAAAAGTGTGCATTGAGTGATTTGCAATTATATACACTATAAACATTTTGTTTCCGCAAAAAGTGAGTTGCAAAACAAATATAAAATCAAAGCAGCAATACCATGTACAGGCACTTATTCTCTTTACCTGCATATCTTCTATTCAGTATAAATGAAATTAACTGTAATACAAAACACAGAGACAAAAAAAAATAATAATAATAATAAGATAAATATATTTAAGATAATACTACACTCCTTTCTAGCTCATAATACCCAAAGGAATGCACCTTTTGAATATGGCTTTTTGCTCTTTCTGTCAAAAGAATAGTTTAATTGGACATAATCCATTGGCGTCGGGTACATGTAACATCCACTGTAGTTTTGTCAATTTTTACACATAGATGACTCCAAAAGTCACCACGGAATCAATCACCAAGTCTATGTGTCCTCACTTAATATTCCCATTCCTTATATTTCAAGGTTTCAAGGTTTTCAAAAATCAAGGAAATCAAAGACTAGTTACTGACTCTTTGGTAACAAAGCTCTCTATGTGTAAGCAAAATTAATAAACTAAAATCACAGTGGACATAGCATGTACGTCATAGTTTTAGTGTTTCTTTTCTCACTACAGCTATGTTCCATTAAACTTTTCCATATGTCTCTTTTTTTGTGATGTATAGTCAGAATATTTAATATTTTGAAAATAGAAAATTGTTTGTTTTACTTATATTACTTTTAAATAGGGTATAAAATCATGATTGCATATCAGAGAATATTTTGATTTTATACATACAGAAATATGTAAGATTATCCCAGTCAAGTAAAATCCAAATTCATTAAATAAATCATTCATTACTATTAGTATCATTACTCATATAAATCTTCTTCCTCTCACAAATTCAATTAATTTACCACTTACTTCCATTGGCGTGTATGTATATTTGTATGCATGTGCGTGTGCTTGCATGTGCATCTGAGAGCAAGTGTGTATGTGGGATTGGAAGTGAGCATAGGTGTGAGTGAGATAGTAGATGCAGGTGTTGGTCTGGGGGATTTCTGCGGGTGCATGTATGTGTGTGCACACGTATACTTCCCTTGAACTTTATCTTTTCCAACATAAAGTTTAAAATGTATTGTTGCCTACCTATTTGTTTTGCTACACAACTCACGCTAAGCAAATTCATCACCTGCCTTTTATCAAATACCAAAAAATTAATAAGCCATTCATAAAATATCTGATAAAGTCACATGTACTCATAATGCATTTCCTTATGCGGAATGTATTACCAGGCTGTAGCTAGGACACAATCAAGCGATAAATAAACATACATCTGCTTATAATCCTAAGTACAGAGATGAAGACTACTTAGAGGAAAAGAAGAGTGTTTTCAAGAAATGGTCATCAACAGAATTCCATTGCAAATCACACTGCTTGCATATTCTGTCTGTTACATACTGAGTTATGATGCCTAGATGTATAACCATGATTACAAAAGGCAGTGGTAATGTACATATCAAAAGTAGATTCAAGCTCCACTAGTGTGATGCACAGAGTAAAAGGATAATCCAAAAAAATAAATTATGCAAAGAGGTATTTGATTAACTTAATTTTAAAATCTCATTGATACTGCCATAAATTTGATGGGATTTAAAACCTGTTCTTGTCATATATACAGTCAGTACATTCACTTCTAATGTAAAAGGAAAAAGAAAACTGCTTTACACATCAATACAAAACAAAAATCAGATGAATTCTCAAATTAACACTAACACATATTTTTAAGCAATTCAACAATATAAATATGTAAATAAAGCATCTTTTTTATTATAAGGTTCTTCCTTTTTTAATATTACATCTGAAGGAAATTGAATTACAAATGAACTATCTATTCCAACATTGTTTCTATATAACTGTAATGCCACTCATAATGTTAATGTCAGTCAATAAACTTAATTCACTTAACATTTCACAGCCAGCTTTAAAAGCACACAGAGTGAAAAGAAGATTTGTGTGTGTGTGTGTGTGTGTGTGTGTNCTGTGTGTGTGAAATGTGTGCGTGTGCATGCATGTGTCAGTGTACATACATCTTTTTAGATGTGGTTGTGGGTATGCATGTCAGTTTATGTGTGTATATCTATCTGTACCTTCAAGAGCATATGCATATATGCATGTACATGTGCATATGCATAAATGAGAACCCTACAATAAAAATATGATGCTCTAATTATGGGACCGAGTAAAGATTTTAACATGAAATTATCACAGAATTATCTGTATGTCAATAAAAGCTGGCGGGCTCACATTCATTTACCATCATGAATAAAAGAGGACTAAAGGAAAGAGATTCTATCAAAAAAGGAATAAAATATATATGTAGTACTGTATGAACAATAAATTCAATTTTTCCAATTAGATATTCTATCAGACAGGTTTTCTTCCTCTAACTCTGACATAAAGTTTGTGCATTTTACAGTTATAGAGATAATGAAGATAAGAAAAATGGAGAATATATATATATATTTTGGTATAAGTTTGTATTCTGTTACTGTGTGTGCACATATGATCATCTAAAATTAAAGCAATATAGGTAAGCAAATACTGTATGCAATTGTGTGCTTTGAGGAAACACAGGAGCATATCTCACTTTGATTTGTCAAAAAAATATTTCTTGAACATTTGAGTTATTCATGAAATATTTCATACTTATGTCTGTTTAATGAACAAGAATATCTAAAGACTACATGTACATAAAATTGCATAGTTATTCACTAGAAAGTGAAACAACAATAATAATAATCATAATAATAATAAAAATAATAATAATTAAAAAGTTAGACAAGACAATTTTTCAAAAACTGGCTATTCAAAATGACATTTCCAATGATGCTTATCTTGGCAAGTTATTGTATAAAAGACTCTCAGCTTCAATGACTGGAGTTTTTTTCTTTTGAAAGGTCCATCACAAGGCTAAGAAATCGTAGAATCAGCATCTTTTCTCTACGATTACTTTTTCACTTTTTTTTTTTTTTAATCCAAAGATATCCTGCAAGTGCTAGGATTTAGATATCATGAATGACATCCTTACTTTTCTCTACCTACTGTAGCATAACTTTATCATATAATCAATGCCAAAATAACATCCAATGAATGAGGAGCCTTTGATTACATATGAAATAATCGTGAAAGGCTACACTCTGCCCTCCTTTCCTTTGTCAATACATTCCTTCCAGACATGTTTTGCATTTCAATAAGGCCTTGCTCTCATTCATCACCCGATGCACTCAGCTAAACCACCCTGCAAATCTGTTCACGTTCAGATTCCACCCTCGTCAAAAGCTTTATTCATATCATCAATAATGCTTTTGAGTGCTGGGCGATATGGAGAAGACTTTCTGAACATCTCCTCCAAGAAGGTTGCGTCCGTGAAAAAGTCAAGAACATGGTCTATCCGACCAAGACTCTTGTCTGTCAAGTGATTGCCCACCAACTGCTTGAGGAGACCCCGGCAATCGTTGATGTTTTTTATCAAGAAGGACCGGTCGAAAGTGTAGTCCACTTCAAAGAAGCTGATAACGGTTTTCACTATAGTTGTGAATTTGTTCTTGAGCTGAAAATATAAGATTTATGTAAGTCAAAAAGAAATTACCTTGTGATACTCTATTTGCAGAATTAGTCTCGAAGATTTGAAATGAACCATTAGGAGGGACTTTTTCTTCCTACTGAAGGTTATTATACAAAGTAACCTAATTATGATTTCCTATTAATAAAGATGAGCTAGGTGGCAATTAATACTCTCCAAAATTCACACTATATACTGTGACTAAAATATCTAATTATGGCTTGATTAGTTAACATTTTAAAATTAGCAAAAGGATCAATAAACATGATCACCAGAAATCATAAATCATATATATATATATAAATCTGGATTATTACAATTTCTTTTTCATATATCTTCCAAGAAATAAAAAGACTACAACAATGTTTTCTAACAAGTACAATTGTTTGTTCTATGAAATAACATAGCCCTATAGTGCTTTGACTTCTGTGTATGTGTGTGTGTGTGTGTGTGTGTGTGTGTGTGTGTGT